GCCTCCTGTTACCATCCGATCTAGATGCACAGTTCGGGACCCCCTACCCGAGATCCGCTGGTTTTGACACCGACACCCACCCTCCGTTGTCCCCAATAAGTGAGGTATTTTGCCGTGTTCCGCAATAGCACATCCAGACACAAGAAAGGATCTGTGATTTCCTCTTCGCAGACCCAAGCATCAGCGACCGCCTCCAAGAATCCGTCGAGCTTGGTCCAAAACAGCTCAAACCTGAACCTCTTTCTAGGCTGCAGATGCTCCTCCTCAAGCGAAAGCTACAGCGGGCAGTGGTCCGAGGCCGATGTGGATAGCGCTTGCAGTAAACAGTCGGGATGGTCCAGTTCCCAATCCACAGACACGAAGGCTCTGTCAATTTTAGTCAGCATAGGAATCTCCCTTTAATTGCTCCACGTGTACGTCCTCCCGTGCAGGAAAAGCTCCTTGAGACCCATATCATCCACACACCGCTTGAATTTGCCCATCATCCTGCGATCAAGCTTGTTGTTATTCTTATCTGCCGCATGGAGAATCAAGTTAAAGTCTTCGATAACCAGCCACGGCCCGGGGCAGAGCCTTCTCCTCTCTGTAAGATCGTCCATAAATTGAATCTTCTCTAGATCCTCCTGTGGTACGTACACCACCGAAAGCCACCATGTTGGCCCATCGAGAGGGGACACAAAAGCTGTTAGAAAGTTAGCGTCTAGTGTCACGTTGGATAACTGCACTTTAGACGAGTCCCAGCCCACAATGATTCCACCCCTCGTCACCGACGCCGGGAGATAAGCGAAACCATCATATGATGTTCCCATACATTGCATGACTGTGAACTGGTCCACCCTTTCGAGTTTGGACTCCAGTATACATACGATCGCAACACGCACCGTGTCCACGAACTCCCTAAGTGTCTTTCTCCTGGCCGGACTGTTTAACCCCCTAACATTCCAACATACAACTTCTAATGAGGCGTGCGACATGGGAAGCTGTGGTACATCCCGAGACACGACCACTACTGTCTACACCGACAGCATCTTCGCCTGCTCCAGCTCACATGCCAAGTTGGAGGGCATGATCTTGTCGAATATGGCCGCTATCGCCCTCAGCTGCTGCTCCTGCACCGGTGAATCAAACATCTCCCATAGCTGACCTAGCACATCGTTCGAGACCGCCAGATCATCGCTAGAGATCTCTAGGGTTTTGAGAAGCATTGTTTCCGCAGCCGTCGCTTTGGTCTTCCTGTTCCCTGAAGCGCACACCGATCTTGTGGTACGCCGAGGCGTGAAGGGGTCTTGACCCGTGCGCACCCATCGTATGCCTTCTATCTCCTTCAGAAGTGGCGGCGCCAGTTTTTTCAAGAGTCCCGAGCAGAAAGATTTGATATTCCCCAGTGCAGCCAATTCCTTTGCAGATAGATTCTCGTCCGTACCCTGTTCATCCTGGGAGTGATGGTGCACAATGATTTCGTTGCCATGCAGGGTTGGTATTGCATGGCCACTCGACGTAGTCCCATCAACCACCGCAGCATCCAATGGGGACTAATCCCTAGCTGCAAGTCCAGAATCACGGTCGGCCTCACCCCGCGTCTCGGGGTTCACAGCACCAATCAGCTCAGGTACCGGTGCCCAGCCCAGCAGTTGCACAGTGGTGTCGCCAGTGTCGGGTGTCCCCTCCGTCGTCTCCGTCGGGATTTCCTATGCCGGGGCCGGCCGCATGCCAGACGAGACCAAGACCACAGCCTGGCAATCATGCCGCACCGGATCCTGCATGCGCTCCACATCCAGAGTAGGGGCCTGGTCTAGAGTTGCAGGCCCCACCCTAGCCTTCCTTTGGCCACTAGCTGCCTCCTTGTCTTGTCCCAAATTCCCATCCCTGGTTGCCAACGAGTGGGCCAGCTCTGATCCCAACTTGTCGGGATCAGCGCCGGTCCTTTGAGCATCCACTTGCGACTGTGTGCCCGTTCTCACCAACTCTGGGCCATCTTGATCCGCCTGTACCGATTTGGCATTTGTCTCCACCTCTGTGGCCAGTTCTCTTTGCCCAATGATTGGGCTGATAGCGCGCACTGTCTCAAGTCCGGTCCGCTCGCCAATTGTCCCCATCGCAGAGTCTGGCGCATGATGCGTTGGGATAAGACCGTTTGAACGCCCCTGCTCCCGGCCGGGCCGGTCGTTGTGGGCCACCACCGGACCAGATGCGACGTCCAAAGTGCCAGATCCCATGTGTGGAAGCCTCCAAGCGGAAGGCCCCACCCTTCCTTCCAACGCCGCTCTGTATGATCTGAGTTGCTCACCGCCACCGCCGCCGCTGGCCGGAAAGTGTGCACGGCGGCCGGCGCCTCGATTGTCCGTCACTCCACGAGACCAAGGCTGCACGACCCACTCTCCTCCCTGGAATGAGCCGCCTGAGCTGTCCGGCAACCCACTCTGACCACTCCCGCTATCTGATCCAGACTCCCTCCTCCAAAGCTCCGGCGGCGAGAAGTCCCTCATCCGGTCGATGTGGATGAACGTTGGATACTCCAACAACTGGCGGAAAGAAGCACGCCACGCCGCGGGATCCACATTCACCTCCAGCGGCTCCGACACCCACAGCTTCCTAAACACCGGCACGTCGTCCGGGTCGACGCACCAAGCTCTCAGCTTGAACAGCGACAAATCCTCCCTGCTGGCTGTCTCCGGCGCCACACTTTCAATCAAGCACGCACTCCCTAACAGCTCCGCCGCCGTGTTCTTGGCCCAGGCATGAGATGGTATGCCCTCGATCATGATGTCAACCTGAACCCGCATAAGCCTCGATGCTGCCTGCGCCTGCCTGAGCCATGGCTTGATGAAGAGCTTGATCCCAAGATGCTCAATGAACGGCACTGCCAAAGCTCTATTCATGAACTCGTGCGCGGCAAACACCACCAGAAAATCTTCCGGATGGAACTTGTGAATGGAAAAGCGAAACCTTGGCATCCCCAACTGTGCCAAAATCGCCACCGCCGCCTTGTCGCAGGAGACCGGCGGCCGAGCTCCTCCCACGTACATCACCACGGCCAACTGCAGCCGCCGCTCCAGGTCGTTCATGCCCTTCGACCGCTGCAGCACACAGATCTCAAATGACCCTGCATACAGAGCCGCCCCCGGCGCAACAGACGAGGAGGGGAGGTTGGGCGCAACTGGCGAGAGCGGCGCCGCTGGCGCGCTCTGCCTAGGCTCCGTCAACCTCCGCCTCAAAGTCGGTGCCTGCCTGGGCGCCTCTGACCTGCGGGCAACCTGTGCGATCACCGCCCATCAGAGCTCATCTGCCGAGATGGGGCTGCGCGGTTCCCGGCACTGTGATGAGACATGACCAGGGAGGCCGCAGCGGATGCACAGGGCCTCGTTGGTGCAATCCTGCCGCCGATGACCATCCTCGAAGCATCTGAAACAGAGACCGAACAGCTCCGGCAGGATCAGCCTCCGCTCCGAAGAGGACGGGGACACAACCCGAGCCGGGCTGCCGCCCGCCTCCCGCTGACGCCGCAAAGCCTGGCGACGCCGCCACATCGCCTTGCGGGATGTACCCGGCATGTGCCAGCTCTCGGCTTACGCCAGACCAGGCTCATCCACCGGACCACCCCCCGCCGAGGACGAACACGCCAAGCCAGGGGAGCCCGAAATCCCCAACCCCGAGACAACCGGTTGCTCCCGATGGAGCGCCGACGAGACCGAGGGCGGGCTGCAGGAGCCGGAAGCCATGGCAGAGAAGGAGGGCGGGGAGAGAGTGCGCCGGGGCCGGAGTAGCCGCCGGCGGGGAAGGTGGATGCCGGTGCCCGAGTGGCAGCCGGCGTGGGGACGGAGCGTGGGAGCCTCAAAGGGATTCTCCAAGTCGACAGTCGCCTTCCTTCCTTGTCGCTTGTCATCCTGTGAGTGGAAGAGACGGGTCCGTCGATGGAATAAAGGCCTTGTCCGGCAAGCTGCTGTTGCAGCAACGCAACGCAACGCAACACGCAGGGAGGGAGCGTGCAAGACGGCATGATCCATCCCACCACCCACGTCGCCGTGCCTTCTATATTATTTAACAAACTGCAAAGCACACATAGAAAAGTATACATAATCATGCTGACCGATCGACCACAGAAGAGATATTCTGGATTCTGGAATGTACCTCACCATCGAGTCCCTCTCGTCGTCGACATGCTGCCATCTCGTAAGTACTGCAATCCAAACCTCCCATTCTGGCCACGGATTTTTATACACTAGCAGAAGGAATCTCGTCGTCGCCATACGGAGCGCTACAAAACGAAAGAGCTGACAAGGCGGCACACCGCCGGAGCCGACCAGTCACCAACCACGCACATCCGAGCCGGCAAACGCCAGCTTGCCACTCGCAGCAGCGGCGATCACGACCACGACCTCTCTCGACATGGATCCCGGGAAGGAGCAGACGGGTACGGCCGAGCCCGGCGCGGCGGCGTGCCGCACCCGCGCGGTGTGCGGCACGGAGTACAGCTGGTGCCGCGCCGTGCTGGGCGGCACCGGCACCACGCTCCTCGCGCTCCGCCTCTCGCGCCGCGTCGCCACCGCGGCCGAGGCGGCCGTCCGCTCCCTCCAGAGAGCGCACCCCGTCCTCCGCGCCCACATCCGGCCTCCACCTCCAGCCCCACCCTCGCCTTCCCCTCCCCCGCGCCGCAGCTCGCCCTCGCGCCCCAGCCGTCCGCGCTCGATTTCGACTCCCTCCTCGAGGGCGAGCTTAACAGCAACCCATGGGCGTCCGACCCCGGGCCCGACGGCTCCCCGGTGCTTTTCGCTGCGCTCTACGAGCTGCCGCCGCCAGCGCGCGGCGCGGCGCTGTTCGTCCGGATCCACACGGCTGCGTGCGACCGCGCGGCGTCGGCCGCGCTGCTGAGGGAGCTCCTGGCGCATCTGGGCGGCGCGGGCGACCCGGAGGAGGAGGAGTCGGCGGCGGTGGAGGCCGGGCTGGAGGACAGGATACCGCAGAAGGACGCGTGGAAGCCGTTCTGGGCGCGTGGGGTGGACATGGTGGGCTACTCCATCAACGGCCTGCGCACGTCCACGCTGCCGTTCGAGGAGACCGGCACGGCCAGGTCGACGCAGATGGTGCGCCTCGCGTTCGGCCGCGAGGAGACGACGCGCCTGCTCGATGTGAGTTCGCTTCAGATCACTGATAGATGCTACTCCTACATTTGATCTGCACATACAGATTAGTAGATTACTGATAGTTCGCGCATTGTCATCTAGGCGTGCAAGGAGAACGGGGTGAAGCTTTGCTCGGCCATGGCTGCGGCGACGTTGCTGGCTGCACGGCAGTCGAAGAAGCTGGACAGTGGCCAGCAGGAGACGTACTCTGTGGCGACCCTGATCAACTGCCGCCAGTTTCTTGAGCCAGCTTTGGACGATCACAACGTTGGTTAGTCCTTGAAGCAAATCAACTCTAAAAATTTATCATGCTTCAAATCTTTAGATGCAAAAGCTTGACACTGTTAATCGTTGCAGGGTTCTTCTACTCTGCCATCACCAACACCCACAAGATACACGGAGAGGAGGGGCTATGGGAACTGGCCAAGAGGTGCCACGATTCCTACATCAGCGCCAAGAACAGCAAGAAGCACCTCACCGACACCGCCGACCTCAACTTCCTCATGTGCCGGGCCATCGAGAACCCGCAGCTGACGACGGCGTCGGCGCTCCGGACGGCGCTCGTCTCCGTGTTCGAGGAGCCGGCCACCTACGACGGCCTGTCCGGCCTGCAGAGCAAGGCCGGCGTGGAGGAGTACGTCGGCTGCGCCACCGTGCACGGCATCGGCCCGTCGATCGGCGTGTTCGACTCTGTCAGGGACGGGCAGCTGGACTGCGCGTGCATGTACCCTTCTCCTCTGCATTCCAGGAAGCAGATCCAGGAGATGTTTGACAAGGTGAAGCTGATTTTGCACGAAGGGTGCAACGCGGGTATTGAGAAACTATGAAGATTGTACGTAGGGATTTTGTGGATACGTACTGAGTAGATTCGAAGAATGTTGCTCCTTTCGGTAAATGGTAAAACTTGGACCCCGTTTGGTCTGTCACGCCATTGGTGTTGCACTTTCAGGTGGGACTTAGGCCAATTCCACTGCGCGACCTTATCCTTTCCAGCCTCATCCGTTTGGAGTAAAAGGGACAAAAGAGGCGTCCCAGCGCGTGGGAGTAAACGGACTTTTGTTCGTTTTGTGTCCGCTTTCGACCCATCTACGGCTCAAGTTTGCGCCGTTTTTGGGGTAAAACGGACATCACGCGGACGCGCGGGTCGTCTGCGCGTGTCCTTCCCTGGCACGCCCGTCGGTGGCACAAGGCGGGCCTTTTTCTATCCGCCCCCTCCCTCCCTCCGGCCGCACCCCCTCCACTCTTCCCCTCGCTGCCGCCGCCGCCGCTGCCATTGCAGTCGTGCAGTTCGGACGCGAGCTCGCCCAACCCCTTCCCCTCGGCGCCGCCGAGCTACCCAACCACGGCCACCTGGTTTGCGCACCCGCCGGCCGGTTTTAGGGCGGATACGGTCGGTCTTGAGCTCGGCCGGCTGTGGGAGGCCGGGCCGCGCCATGGACTGGCCGGGCACCTCGCCGGAAGGCCCTGGCAGGGCCGCAAGGCCACATGCAGGCAGTGGCTCCTCCTCTATCCGCTCGGATCTGCATCGTCGGTGGTCCACCAACAGATACACGAATGGCGGTCGGCCGGGCTCGGTGCTTGCCTAAAAGCTCGCCGGCGCACCGTTGCCACTCATTAAGTGCGACCACTGCCCAAGGATGGTCGTGCGCCTCGTGTCTACAACGCCGGAACATTCCGGATGGGTGTTCATCAAGTGCTTAAACAATGGGTATGCGCTTTTTTAGCTTCGGTTTGTGCTCTAGATTTGACTAGTTGTGCTAACTTCAAATTTTGTTGTGTAGAATGGATGCAAGTTTTGGTATCGGGAAGAAGAGTACATCGATATATTGATAGAGCGAAATTTAGTACATGTTCGTGCACTTTTAGCTAGCATAGAGGCTGTAAATAAGACAAGTGCACTTGTTGCTAAATTAGAGGCTAGACACGAGACTAGGTGTGAGGAAGCAACATCTACATCTGGCTTGAAGAAGAAAGGAGGATGCCAGATCGAGCCTCCTCCACAGATCAACAATGAGTGTATCGAGAAGGCCCTAACCCAACCCAAGGGGGCAGTTATGGAAGTTGGCTATCTTCTAAAATGTATCTTGTTATTCTTATTTTCTTTGGCCTTGCTTTACTAGTCAAAATGTGATGATGTATTGTCATGTACCAAAAATGAATGATAAAAAAAAGTGAAGGACTTGCAAAGAAAAATACGCTGACAGGATACGGCCGGGATGCGTCCGCGCACTGGGCGCACGGCCACCGCATCCCAGGACACGCCCGGACACGATCCCAAATCCCTACCCAAACGGACAGAATCCGGACAAAACAGACGTCCGTTTGGGGTCGCGCGGTGGAGTTGGCCTTAGAGCAACTCCAATGGGATGACCCATTTCGTCCGCTCGCGTCCGTTTGGGTCGGCGCGGACAAAAATGGTGGCCCAACGCGCCGACCAAAACTCAAATAGTGTCCGTCCGGCGTCCACGCCGACCCATTTTCGGCCCAAAATGGCGCCTGGAATGCGTCGGAGCGGACGCGAAGCGGACGCGCCGCGCGTCTCCTCGCTGTTCGCCGCGTCCCCACCTGGCGGCCGTCCAACTACGGCGGTCAACATAATTTATGATGACCGTCCACCTTGGGCCCACGCGTCAGCGACGATAGTCGCCCTTTTTTAAGCCGGCGTGCGGCGAGGCCGTCCTCATCCACTACCACTCGCCCCCCGTCCCTATCTGGCCACCCCTACCCCCACACCGGCGACAACCCTAGCCACCGCCAGCATGGGTTTATTCTCCAGCATCGGCAGTAGCCGCAAGGGCAAAGCCCCGGCCCGTCATTCCCCCTCCCTCCCCGCCCTTCCCACGCCGGCGCGTGCTCCCCATCAGAGGCAGCGCATCAACGTGCCGTTGCACCAGGCCGAATGGCACTGGCACCACCGGCGTGTCTCTGCCGTACTCAGACGTGACGCTGCCGCATGACTCGCATTTGGATCCGGGGAGGATCCCAGTGCCGGCGGCACCGCGGACGGCGAGGGCCCATGCGGAGGAGGTGCGGCGCCGGCGGGCGTTGCTGTCGTCAGAGCAGCGCGCCGACCCGCACTTCGCCATCGACTCGCCCAACTGGGCTCGATGGTTCGCCTTCGAGCACGAGGAGGCGAGGCGACGCGGCGTCCACGGCATCGACCACAGCCTGCCACCGCCCGCGCTCGTCGTCCGCGACGAGGACCAGGAGGCCGAGGCCGCCTACCAGGAGGCCGAGGCCGCCTACCAGGCGGCCATCAAGGATAGCGAGGAGGAGGAGCGGTGGAGGGCGGCGGACGAGGCGGCTTTCGAGGCTGCCATTGCCCTCTTCGCGGCGGGCGACTGCGTCGTGCCGCCGGCAGCCCCGCCGTCCCCGCCCAAAGCCAAGCCGGAGGAGACGGCCTACCTCGAGCGCTACTCCTGGACCGGAGTAGTGCACGAGTGGGTCAGCGCTCCGTCGATCTGGCTTGGGGCGACGGAGAAGCAGGAGGCGGCCTACCTCGACCACCGGCGCCGCGTTCGGCTGGCCGAGGAGCACCGGGAGGGCGAGCACCTGCAGATGCTCGAGCGCGAGGCCGAAGAGGAGGCGCGCCAGGCCCAGGCAGCGGGGGCGCAGACAGCAGCGGCAAAGCCCGACATCACCGCCATCTGGAACACGGCGTTCCCCTGGGCCGGCCCTGCGCCGACGTTGATCGACCTCACCGGTCCCGACGCAGACGCAGCCGCCGACGAGGACACCTAGGCCAGCGCGTCGTCTAGTTTTTAGTGTTTTAATTAATGTAAAGTGGACTTTCGCCGGCCTTCATAGCCGGATTTTATGTTTAATTAAGTGCATGTATATTTTCAAAATGTTTGCAATACTTTTTTTGGCACGCCGACAAAATAGGTCGGGCCAACGTTGGGCGCTCGCGTCGATCCAAATATAGTGTCGGACGTTTGTGTTCGTCGGAGCGACCCAAACGGACAAAAAGCGGACAAAAACATCATTTGTTCGGATCGGCCCGTTGGAGTTGCTCTTATAATGTACAGAGCAGAAAATCTACCGCGCACGGGAGCTTCCGTGCCTGCGTTGGCCGTTCGCTAATGCATCATGATCCGAGTTCTGCTGAAGCTTTTTCCCGTTGTTTATTAAGCACTACACTGGAAAATGTCAATACACCACAATACAAAGCGATAGTGTGTCAGATTGTCTGTAGCAGTTGTCCTTGCGTGCTTACTTGTGTTAACCTTTTACATAAAGGTGGGAGAGAGTGCTTAGATAGTATGTTGCATGAATAGCTATTTGCTCTCTTTCTCTCTTCCACTATAAACTTGCATTTTTTTGTGAAATGTTAAATGACTCATAACATTTGAATCAATTTTTTTTTACATATTTGAACTCCCGGCACCAAAACCTTTAAAATAAGACAAATCTCGGATACATTTCAAACAAGTTTAAATTTGAACATTTCACACCTATTTCACTAGAACCTATTTAACCCAAATACAAAACTGAAATGTCAACTTGTGAACCTAATTATTTAAAGTTGTGTAATAATTTATTTTAAAAGAGTGAAATGAGTTATTTAAAAAATGTGCAATTGAAATATATGTGATTTTTGTGAAACAAACCAGTGAAAAGTGAAAATATAGGTTCTCAAAGTGTAAAATAATATGAAACTGAAATGTCAACTTGTGGAACTGATTATTTAGAAATGTGTAACAGTTTATTTCAAAAGAGTGAAATATGTCTGGAAACATTAATTGAAATAGATGTGGTACTAAAACTGATCTGGAAACTGAAATGGATGCAGTCTAGAAATTTCAATTTCAAATTTCACATCATACATACTAGTTACATTCCAATTTCATATTTCAATCTCACATTAATTGAAATGGATGTGTTACTGAAACTGGTTTGGATTCAAAGGCAAGAATATCTTCTGATCGGTTCTGGAGCTATCAGCAGCGCAATTATTACTCATGCATCTTGTACAATCAAGGTCGCATTTTTCCCCACATGCGTCTTGACACTGAAGCCATAACTGGTCTGCCCTGTTTGGAAGAAGCGCTGGATTGCTTCAGAGAATCTGGTTTGTTGCAGTTCGTCACTGACAAGGAGCACTGGAACGAAGAATTGCTGCTCCAATTCTATGCCACTCTTCATATTCGTGGCTACAACAGGGATCCGAAGACTTGGGTCCTTGAGTGGATGACAGGCAATGTTCATCACGAAGCCAAAACCTTTGATATCATTGAGCTCACTGGCCTGCCCACTCCAGGAGATCTTTATGAACCTGGTTGTCAGCTTCACAGTGCTGCTATGGAAAGCATTTTTCACAAGCCTGAACCCAACATGAGTCAGATGCTTAGCATGATGAAGCATTTGCCTCCAGATGCTGAATATCCTAAGGAGTTCTTTGTTGAAGACCTTGAGTATCTGCCACGCACTATCTATCACATCATAAGGCGAACTCTCTGGCCCGTCAAAGGACATTCTCCACATGCAAAGCTGGAAGGTGCAATGAAGACTTTGGTCTTCCATATTCTTCACGGCAAAAGCTTCAATGCACAAGACTTCTTCATCCGCCAACTTGCTGCATCCGGATCTGATCTCTTTGGCTTGAAGTTTTACGCCCCATGGATTATGCGTCTGATCAAACTACACTCAGCTGTCACCTATCAGCCCTCTGCTCGCAATCATCGGATTTTTCTGCCTGACGTTCACATGTCAGTTGAAGCCATCTATCCAGAGCCTGTCAAGGAGCCCCTTAGTCTTCAGAATGCTGATAAGCAAAGTTTCTCTCAACACATTGAAGGCGACCCAGCAGTCATTCGTGTTTATCTTC